ACCCCCACCCTCCCCTACCTTCCCTCTGAGGTTTGACGGTCTGGTCAATGCTTCTCTGTCTCTGGATCTGTTTTTACTTAAATGGTCTTTCACATGCAAAGGCAAAAACAAGCCCATTTTAGTATGTAAGGGTTCAGAAAACAAACCCTCTACTTAGACTTCTCATGAAAAACATTGAAGATACCCACTGAGAGTTGAATCTCATGCATTCAAAGTGGAGAAGTGTGCCACTGAAAAGACTGGCTGACCTACCCTTACTCCGCTTTGCCTACTGGAACATAGTGGAATAGGCATTATCCAGCAGATGTGGGGGCGGAGCCTGGCCTCTAAAGCTTCCCAAGGCTTTTCCTTAACAAGGACCAGGGAACATCTTTCTGGAGCCATGCACTTCCTCTCATAATTCAGATAGACTTTAGACAATAAAGGGCGTTGGCTAAACTACTTACTAGGCACTGTGCTAGGAAAATTTCTAAACAGCTTTTCACTTTCTCCAAAAAAACAAATTTAAAAACAAGGCAGAGTTAGAGAAAATACAGTGGCCAGTTTCATTACTAAGATACTCAAGCAATGATTTTTTTTTTGCTCTCTCAAAGCTATTTTTGAATGACCTAAATAAAATATGTATTTATTTATGTAAAAATATTTTTTATTGATTTCAGAGAGGAAGGGAGAAGCAGAGAGAGATAGAAACATCAATGATGAGAGAGAAAAATCATTGATCAGCTGCCTCCTGCATGCCCCACACTGGGGAATGAGCCCGCAAACTGGGCATGTGCCCTGCCCAGGAATCTAACCATGACCTCCCGGTTCACAGGTCCATGCTCAACCACTAAGCCACGCTGGCGGGGCCTAAGTGAAATATTTAAAAAATTTGGGCAATCCTCATAAATTTATTAACAAGCTATTTTCGACTTAATCTAGGACATGTTCTTAACTTATTGCATGTTCTTGCGATAATTAGAATGTTGAAAATTCAGCATGTAAAGAATAATGTTTACTATGTAAAAACCAATAACGTTCACTATGTAAAAACCAATTAGAAACATATGTAGAGCTGGAGCTGTAAAGAGAGAGCACAAAATGTGACTGCTATTCTTGGGTAATTTTTTATTTTATTTTGCTTTTTCAAACTTTCTACAAATGCCTCATACTATTACTAGTGACCCGGTGCTCAGACTCATGCACATTGAAAGGAAATTAATTAGAAGGTGGCCGGCGGGGTGGGACTGGGCAAGACAGGCTGGACACGCCCTGAAGCCAACCTCCCGTGGTCCCTTCCCCTGGCTGGCCGCACCTGGGGTAGTACCGTGGCTCGAAGGGCTTCTGCGGAGTGACTGGGGTCCCTCCGGCAGGTGGGGTCCCTCGGTCTGGCCTGCAGGGATCAGGCTGAAACCAGCTCTCCGACAGGGGTCCCGGAGTGCAAGAGGGCACTCTGCAAAGTTGCTGTCATACAGGGTGTGGAACCCATACGCAAGTGTGCAGTAAACCAGATCTGGGGCCAACATTGCCCCAGCAACAACATAACCTATGGCCTAAGGAGGAATCAGGTGGCCCCATGAGGAATCGGGCTCCTTCCTCTCTGGTTTCGGGGGTGGTGCATCACCCAAGAACCGCCACTGCCAAGTCACTGAAGCTCGGTAGCTCCTGCATTGAGTGTCTGCCCCCTGGTGGTCAGTGTGTGTCATAGCGGCCGGTCAGATGGTGGAAGGGACACTTAGCATATTAGCCTGTTATATATATAGATAAGAAAAGCTATTTTAAAAACCATAGCTACTGTGAAAAGTCCAGAACAAAGTTACAGGAAGATGACTGTAGTTATCTTTGGGAGGTGAGTACATGTCTTTTTCCTTTTTATATGATTTCAAAAATTTCTTATAGGAATATGTTTTACTCTTATAGTGAGGAGGGAAAATCATAGGCCAGCTAATAAATTAAACGGCCGAAATGTAAGCTTATCTTCTGGCTCTTTTGCATTGTATTCTGGATTCCAGCTCAAATTTGATATAAAAATATCAGCATTTATACCAACCCCATTCTTTCTGAAGAAGAAATCACATCCACTCCACTTACCCCTTCCACTTACAATAGGAAACATGTCCTCCCACGTTCCCTTGTATACCAGTTCAGAGTCTGGGGCCGAAGGTGACCCAAATCCTCTGCACACAATGGGCATCTCCGTTCTTGGAGCAGTCTCTGAAGTGACTAAGTTGGAAATAATTTGTCCTCCCCTGGCTTATAAGGGATCCATACTTTGTTTCTGGATACGCCCACTTACCCAGTGTTTTGTAGTCATCTCTTGCCTTGCTTGCTCTCAGTAGTGACTGTATTTTCACGATTTCACTTTTCTGAAAAAGAATGAGACTGGTCATGGCCTTCCAGAGTCCCATCTACTCCACTATTTTAGGATTCAGAACTATTTAAGAACTGATGGTATTTAAGAATAGACACTATTTAGAAACGATAGTATTTTGATGTGGTGGATTCAATGTTTATTTTTCCACTTTTTTTGAATGAAGGGTCAGATAAAGTCAGCTAAAAGTATAAACAAGATTTTACGGGGACTGCTAAAGAGCTCTAAAAAGGGAAAAGAATTTTACCACCAAACCTAGATGATCCAATGCACGTTCAAGGGCTCTTCTGTAAAGATCCTGAAAGAATTCCTCCTGTGGGCTTCTCTCTAATTTAATCAGTTACTAGTTAGACAAACTGTTCTAGTTGATGTTGGAAAAGATTCCCTTAGGACCTTTTCTCTTAGCACAACTAGCCCACATCAGTTTGCTCTCTTCTGTTTTCCCTAACCAGTCCTGGTGGGTGAAGGCTCACTCTGATCTCGAGTTCTGAATAAAAATTGTTACGTCTCCAAGTATTATCACATTGTGTTCTAAGACCTATTTTTTTTTTTGTCCTAGTATTCACTCCCACCATTTAACAAAAGTCCTTCAAGGCTAACATGAAACAAAGCTTCGTTTAGTTCATGCTTAGCCGGGATAAAAATGCACATGCACGTCTCTTACATGATCTCTGAAATACTGCAGCCGTGAAAGGTAATTCCTCCGTGCTCTGGTCATCCGGAACCAGGACTGAATCTAAAAATACGTTAAACAGAGAAATCAAAGAACTTTAATATCTTTTTATGCAGTCATTCTAAAAAAAATAATATTTATAGTTTATTTGATAAAAAAGTAAAAATTAGCAGCCTGCCACATAATAAACACCTAAAGCCTGATCTTCATCTCCTATTCCTTTCACTGCTTCTTCTCTTAAGGACTGAAAACATTTTACACTTTATGGTACGGAAGGTAAGGTAGCCTTGTGCTATTTTGCTTTCATCCCCATAAATGAAAAGCATGTTTGCTGAAAGTTGTAGTGGGTCAGGGAATCAAATAAAACTAAGTCCAGGGTTTCTTCCAACATTTCTTAAATATATCCAATATACTTGAGGTCTTTACAGAGAAACATTTAACGCGTTCTCATGAGGGACCAACTGTGAACAAGAGTTTTCTGAGCGAGGAGACCTATGCTCTATGGAGAGCACAGGACATGAAGGAGCTGCAGCACCGTGGATCTAGAAAATGTCATTCTGTGTCCTCACAGTTTAAACTAACCTCATCTGATCCCAGTCTCTCTCCAGCCCCGATTCTGACTTTCACCAGGAGTCCCAAGTTGTCTATCCGTCCACTTCTGCATGGGCCCCTGGTTTCCAGCTCCGAGACAGTGGCCATCACAGTGCCGTTTCCTTCTCTGAGGTCAGAGCAATCATCCTGGTGCAAAGCTGGGTGGGACTGGCTCACCACCCAGATTCAGATCCTAACTTTTGCATTTACCTTCCCATGAAGGTTTTGTATTGTTAAGTTTGAGCATTGTAAATACTACTAGAAAATATGATAAGAGGAAGATGAAATAGAGTTGGGTTTCTGCCAGACTTTAAATAATCAATTTGGACTTTCTGGAGAAAGAGCATTTCCCGGTTACAAAGCATTTGCACATCTGACTCTCATAACCACATACAGGACCCGAGCCAGCTACTGTGTTTATGGACTTGCTTGTAGATGATCAGCTAAGTGAGTAGTGGAGATGGGACTCCAACTCAGGACTTGCTCTGGCTTCAACACTCATACCTACTCCTTCCATAGTCTGTCTTCCACAAGCAAAACTAAACAGAAGGGAAACGTTTAAGTCAAGCACTTGGTAAGGTAAGAAAGGATGTTTACCTTCACAATAGAGGGAAGATGATCAGCGAATGTCTGCCGCCTGCTGACATATGACATCCGTTGTCTATGTCCCCTCCAAAAAGCCTGTGGAAAAGAGTGAGCTACAGAATTAATTATGTGCAACACTTTTCCAGTTTATTTCAGAAAGCACAAGAATAGAGGATTTCTCAAGACACTGAGTGAGAATGCTGTCGGGACCCGTCCCCCCCGAATCGCATCTGAACACTATCTCTGGGGTGGACCTTAAATTGAGCAGAGAGCACCAGCTCACAGTTGAGGCTTGTCCCAAGCTTGAGAAGCCCAGTGTCCCATCCAAAAGCTTAATTTTACCAAAGCCCTGGGTGACAAGCAGTAATAAAAAATTGGAGTTACCCCAAAACATACAAAGAGATTAACTACGTGCTGGTATTTTTTTTTTTTTTGGTAACAATATAGATGCTTCAAAATAATGACTAATAAGTATCTGAATCCAACAAGTGACCACTGTGGCCCAGACTGGGCAGGAAGATGCTCTCCTAACTTGGGACTCTGGATCCCTGAAAGCAGGAGGGCTGAGCTGGGACAGGCATTATTTCATCTATTCCTGCACCAAGTGTACTGGTGCTCCAGCAACAGAGCTTTACTAGGTTATCAGCATTAAAGATAATTTTTACAGGAAACATTTAAAAAGAGCTGGACACAAACTGAGATCTGCAGAAGGATCAGATCCACAGCTGTTCAATTCCAAGTTTATTCCAGGCCATTTATGAGTTTCTTTTTATTGATGCATATCCTTGGAACTCACTCCAATTCTCTGATTTTTCAAATTAAAAATGAAATACAAGCTTCTTGTTAAAAAAGGACAAATAGAAACATTATACGATTTTTATAAAAAAATAGGTTGCATAGATCAATCTATCTCATTCTTCTAAAAATATATGTGGAATTTATTATCACTTAAAAAATAATATACGTTTTTGTAATAATTCAAAACAGAACAGTCAGGATGGAATAAAAATGATTAACTGAGTACCAGCTCCAGACTTCCCCTCTCAATGCAAATCCCTAGAAATGACACATGTGCCTTAAAAAAACAAACCCTAATTCTGAAATAATTATAGACTCATAGGAAGCTGCAAAAATCATACATTGAGTTCTATGTCTTATGTGAGTCCCTTCACCCAGTTTCCCTCAATGGTAACATCTTCTCAGGACATCTACTATAATGCTAAAAAATGAGAAGGCATATGGATCCGAAACCAAGAGGGACCCTGGAAGAGAAAAGGCAGCTGGCATTGGACTGAAAGGAGGAACCACAGAACAAAATTCTACGAAAATGTGGGAACATCTACAAAACATGTTGGATGGTACTAAGCTTGAGAAAGCCTTGGACTACAGTCAGAATAATTTTGGGGAAGTTATCACCTTATCTACTTGCCAAGCAGTGAACACAAAAGTGTAGGTAGGAGAGGGGAATTAGGAAAAGCACAAGAGTGTAGAGCCTTTTTCGAGCGAATTGAGCAATATAAATTTAAAGTTATTTAGCTTTCTATCTAGTGTGTCTAATTTTCAATTTATCTAGCCTAAGGAAATACAAGCACCTGTGTAGAATAAATATAAGAATTTTTGTTGCATGGTTTGTTAAAACAGATACATGAATAAAGCAGAATGTTTACAAACAGAGGAACAATTATATGCACTGTGATTGCACTCATACTCAGGGATGTTACATGACAGTTAGGAAGAATGAGGGAGAGTCTTATATATTGACTGTGAAAATGCTCTGAATCGTGAGGAACAGCAAAATCTCCAACAGAAGGCAAAGAGGAAATTGTATCTCACCATACACACGATGATACGACATGTTGACAAAAAAGGAAAACATAAAGCAATAGTACATATTTCTATGCAAACAGTCTGTACTCAATGCCTAGAAGATCTATTAGGATAAACAACATGCACAGAGAAAGGGCATGAGGTAAAACGTGCCTATGTACCTAGCCTTACTTCGACCCGGCTATTTTCTAAAGGAATTCCCAATTTTTATGTACCTTTTGAAATAGGTAAAGCATATATGCATACACATACACTCTATTGTTGTACACAAAACTATAAACATGTAAGAATGTATATGTGTTTATGTATCCTTTATTTCTGACAACATGGGATCCAATCTTACTCCACGGTTTGCTTTATTTTCCCTCTAAATTATATACAGCATTTATATTATTTCATATAAAAACACAGATCCTCCCCATTATTTTTTAATGACCACACAGTACTCCGTAGTATAGTTTTACTACGACTTAATAATACCTCTGTTGGTAGGCATTAAGTTATCTTTTTTTTTTTGCAGTAAATAACCTAGTATACACATTACTGTGCATTTTTATAAATGTTTCCATCAAGAGATTAATACATAGAGCAGTGGTTCTCAACCTTTTGGCCCTTTAAATACAGTTCCTCATGTTGTGACCCCAAACCATAAAATTATTTTCATTGCTACTTCATAACTGTAATTTTGCTACTATTATGAATCATAATGTAAATATCTGATAGGCAGGATGGTTTTAGGCGACCCCTGTGAAAGGGTCGTTCGACCCCCAAAGGGGTCTCGACCCACAGGTTGAGACCGCTGACATAGAGGATTACTGTGCCAATAGTTGATAACTTAAAACTGATAGTTACTGTCAGGTTGCCTTACAAAGAGTGTATGATAGAGACCTCTTTCTCAAAGGTCTCACTGAACAGGTATATATAAGAAAAAAAAAAGACTGATATACAAACTGATGGATGAAAACTGCTGCCTCATTTTTATTTATATCTTGGCCTCTGACAAAGTGTGAAAAACTTACCTGACTTCACATACATTTACTTTCCCCCATTTATAATACAATTGTCTTAAATATTTCCTCCAGCCTGGCTGAGTGTGGCTCAGTGGTTGAGCATCGACCTATGAACCAGGAGGTTACTGTTTGATTCCTGGTCAGGGCACAAGCCCAGGTTGTGGGCTTGATTCCCAGTGGGGGGTGTGCAGAAGGCAGCCGATCAATGATTCTCTCTCATCATTGATGTTTCTCTCTCTCTCTCCCTCTCCCTTCCTCGCTGAAATCAATAAAAATATATTTAAAAATATTTCTTCCACATATTTAGAATCATATTCGACAGTGCTATAATTTCTGCTTTAACTGTTTAACATAATTTTAAAAATTCAGTAAGAAAAGGAAAATATATTTCCCATATTTTTACTCTTTTGGTTGTTCTTTTTTCTTTTCTGGTGCTCCAAAATTTCATTGCTTATCATTTCCTTGTTTGTTTAAAGAACTTTCTTAGCCATTCTCATAGAGCAGGTATGCTGGTAACAAGTTCTTTTAGTTTTCCTTCATCTGAGAACACCTTGATTTCCCCTTCATTCCTAAAGGATATTTTTGCTGGATAACACATTCTCTTGTGATAGCGCTTTCCTTTCAGCACTTGAAATATATGTTGTGATTCTTTCTCCTGGTGCGTTTAGGTTGCTATAAAAATATCTGCCATGCCCTGGCGATCATGGCTCAGTGGTTATAGTGTCCACCTGCACACTAGGGGTGTCAGGTTTAATTCTCAGTCAGGCACATGCATGGGTTGATTCCCAGTAGGGGGCACGCAGAAGGCAGCTGATTGGATGTTTCTTTCTATCCTTCTCCCTTCCTCTCTCTCTAAAATAACAAAAACACATTTTAAAAAAAGCTATACAAAAAATACAATCAATAACATTATAGCTAAATTAGAATGGAATTTAAAAATATAAATATAGTAATCCACAGGTAAGCAGGAAAACAGAAAAAAAAAAGCGAGAGCAATAATGCATACATTAGAACAGGGGGAAATTTTCAAATCACTAATCTCAGGTTCCACCTCAAGACCTAGAAAAACAGAGTAAAATAAACCCAAAGAAAATAGATGGAAAATAGAATAAAAACAATAGCAGAAACCAATGACATTGAAATCAGCTAAATAAGGAATGTCAATGAAACAAAGATGTAGTTTTTTTTAAAAAGATCTATAAAATCAACAAACCTCTTGTAAGAATGACAAACACAAAAAGAAGACATGAGAGTAAAATCATAAGCAATCTTACCAATGAATATGGAAACAAAAATCTTAAAACATTAGTAAAGTATTATATAAATTCTATATACTTTTAGATACACACACACACACACAATGCAAGTAGGAATGTGTTTGAAAACACATACACAAAGCTGTGTTTGCACAAAGATTTATAAATAAAAAGCCTAGCCATGAATTAATCAATTAAAATAAAAAACAAATAATCTCAATAGGTATAAAACACTTTTGATACAATTCATATCCCCTTTCAATTTAAATAGAAATTAAACAAACTAAAAATAAATGGATACTTTTTTTTTAAATATATTTTTTATTGATTAAGAAATTACATATGTGTCCTTGTCCCCACGTTACCCTCTACCCCCCCCGCTCTTGCCCTCCCCCCCCGTTGTCCGGGTCCCTTGGTTAGGCCTCTATGCCTGCATGTAAGTTCTTTGGTTGCTCTTTCCCCCTTACCCCCCCCCTCCCCTACCCTCCCTCAGTCCCTGTTTTCAAAGTATTTCTG